TTGTGATAACAATCTATACGAACAGATGCATCAATTCTGCGTATCTGCCGGTGACAACTAATTGCCATAACTAACTGATACAAGAGATCTTCTCAGTACATTCTTGCAGGAATTAAATTAGCCTAATTGAACACAGACACACACACTTTATGCTTTAAAACATGAATCAAAATTATGGCTCCTTTATAGCACAGAACAATGAATGTTTGACAATGTATCCATCTTTTTTAAAATAAAAACAAACAAAAAACAGAATGTTATAAAATTATGTTCAGAAGAAGCAAATCATGTTAGGCCACAGATCTGTCATGTAGGAAGGAAAAAGGACAAAAGACCAAGACTGGATGCTAGGTGGGGAGGAAAGGTACATTTTAAGACACTGAGGAGGAGGAGGAGGAGGAGGAGGAAGAGAGGAGGGAAGAAGAAGAAGAAGAAGAAGAAGAAGAAGAAGAAGAAGAAGAAGAAGAAGAAGAAGAAGAAGAAGAGGAAGAGGAAGAAGAAAAAGAAGGAGGAGGAGGAGCCCCAGTTTGTGGGACCAGTATTTCTAACATCATGTTCATGAGCACAGGTTCTCCCCAGGGCTGTGTCCTAAGTCCAGATGGGTCCCTGTTGACCCATGATTGTTGTGCAATGTTTGCTACCTACCACATTGTGAAGTATGTGGATGATACAACAATAGTGGGCCTTATCCAGGATGACAATGAGGGTGCTTACAGGGGGGAGGTAGAGAGTTAGAAGGACTGGTGTAATAAAAACAGCCGGGTTCTAAATGTAGGAAAAACAAAAGAGATCATTGTCAATCTCAGAAAAAGCAAGCACAGCCACGCCACCTCTGTGTATTCATGATTCACCTGTGGAGGTGATTAGCAGCATCAGGTTTCAGGGGATACTGCTAACGAGCAGACTAGCTTGGTCGCTCAACCGTGAGACACTGGTGAAGCGGGCACAGCAGCGCCTGCATTTTCTGCGTCATATGAGAAGAGCACACCTTCCTTCCCCTGTCCTCACCACTTTCTACAGAGGGACTACCGGGAGCATCCTGTCATATTGTACTACTGTCTGGTTTGAAAGTATTACTGTTTTGGACAGGAAGGCGATGCAGAGAGTGGTGAGGACAGCAGAAAAAGATTATTGGGAGTTCACTTCCTTCTATCCAGGACACGGCATGTAAGAGATGCTGGACCAGGATTCGGAGTATCACCTGGGACTCTACGCGTTCTCTCCATGACCACTTTTCTTTGTTACCTTCTGGGAGGGGGCTTCGTGGTATCTGAAGCAGAACAACTATTCTGTAACAGCTATGTACCATATAGTATCAACCTTGTTAACTCTTATTTCAAGACTTTTTTTTTATGCTATGTATTCAAAATGGACTGCGATTAAAATATATATGGAGATATATACATACATACATATACATAAACATATTCTTTTTTGAATAGTTATCTATTTATCTATATTTATCTATCTATTCTGGGTAGCAGAATTTCATTTGAATGTAGACCTTTATGTTCACAGATGACAATAATTATAATTAATGATTTATAAGTTGTGTTTAACTGGTTTTACATTTTTTAATTTGCAACTATTTTTTATCAGAAGAGCCTAAAGAGTGCTATTTTAAACTTTAGTTCCACGCAATCCTTTATCAGCTCAGAGTGGATTAGAACAGGCACAGCCACATGGATGGTCATGCAATTTTTCCCCACTGGCTGGGCATGTAATTTTTCCCCACTTGCTAGCTTCTTAAAAATCCCACATAAATTCAACATGAAGTTCTTTAAAGGCTTCAAAAGCACACATGGTTTTTCATGCTTAGAGACCTATCAGCAATTGTGATTCTGATAAAGCATCAAACTGAGCTCAGAATGAAAATAAGGGAGGATGAATGAGCTGCCAAGCTTTAAAAGATTAACTTCATTTTACTTAAGATACCCAAGATCAAGAACAAAGAGACCAAAAAAGAAAAAAAAAGGAGGAGAAAAATAGAGGTTCAAGTTACTGGCATAAAAGACATAATTAATACTTTTAAAAATAAGAACAAGAGATAGGAGGAGAGAGATAATGGATGAACCCCATTGGAAAGAAAAACTGAAGTTAATAAATATGAAACCAGGATTCTGATTCTCTGAATGAAAAATTTATGTAACAAATAAGACCAGCCCCACCCTTCCAAAAGTCTGTCAGCTGGGTGGGCTGGATTCAAAAGACCCTGACAGTGTAGATCAGGGGACCCCAACCCCCAGGCCGTGGACCAATACTGGTCTGTGGCATGCCAGCAACTGGTCCACACAAACAAGCAAAGCCCCATCTGTGGGATGCAGGCAGCACACAAAACCACACACCCTTCCGATCCGCGGAAAAACCTCTCTCCACGGAACTGGTCCCTGGTGCCCCAAAGGTTGGGGTCTCTGGTGTAGATCTTTCCCTAGGGTTTGGGTTAGAATGTTTTTCACTGTTTTTCAAGAATTGTCTTTCTTCCAGACCTTTGGTTTTTAACCGTATTTTAAAATTATTTGTATAGTATTGTAGTTAGGGAGTGCAGCTATGGCACCAATTGTTTTATATTGTCTGGTAACATGACGACTGCAATATTCATACATGTTAGCGAATGTACAGGTGATGGCAAAGACGTTCAGGTGGGAGAGTCGATACAGGTAGGCAGAGTGCTGGAGAAGGAAAGAGGGTATCCATCCTGAAGAGGGAAGCTGGGGCAAACACAGATTGTGAAGGATAATTCAGACCTTTCCATGTCAATGAAGACCAACATTGCCAAAGCCGTTGCTTTTCCAGTGGTTGTGCCCAGTTGTGAAAACTGCACACCGAGAAGCAATGGGTCCATTGTCCTGCATCATATAAACACCAGCTGCTCCCTTGCATATGCAAGAGCTCGTCTCAGTTTGGGCAGGTGAGACAAAAGGTTAAAGAATAATAAGAATTATTACGCTTGGACCAGTTGAAGGAAATGGAAGACAATAAATAAAATGGATGAATGGGATAAAGAAAAAAAAAACAACCCAGAAATATCCTTGAAAAATTAATCAGTTATTATTCAAAAGAAGTCCAGGATGGTGTGTAGAAGATGCTAGACTAACGCTGGAGGCCTCCAGGTCTTCCTTTACCTTCAGTCCCATAAACCACTCAGTAATTTTGGGTCAGTCCCTCTTTTTCTCATCCCACAGAACTGTTGTTACTGTGAGAAAATACGAAGAGAGGAAGCACTATGGATGCAGTCTAATACGCCATATAAACAGTGGAATGTAAGTTACTACTACAACATTTCTGTATGATAACTTATTTCTACAACAAATGCTAGCACCTGTAGTGTAATAACACAAGTGATAGAAAATCCTAAATCCTGCCTTTTTTGTAATACATGCTGTAAAATTATTCAAAGAAGTGGAGATGGCTCTCATTTTCAAATAGTAGTTTAAATAAGCTGTGATATTAAGGAATCTGCTAAAGTACGTTCAGGACCTTATAAGGAGCCCTTCAGAAGGCAAAGCGATCCCAGATCTCATTCAGAATTTGCGGGCACCACCAGTCAATGCACACAAACTCTCATGACTAACCAATACATCCAAATGCTGGTTTGGCCCAAGCTTTTGCAGACGTTCGGAAGATCAAAGGAGCCAGGACGATCGTTTGATCTTGGGGAGAGAATCAGGCAGCTAAGCCAGAAGGATTTTGAGCCATGAAATTTCACTCTCAGATAAAGTTCCCAGGCAGTCAGCATCAGAAGTGTGAACACAAGATTGACTTTCTCCCTCTCTCTTTTTATTAATTTAAGCATTACTACTTCAATAAATGAATAAATATTCTTATATCCCTAACACTCCCTGTTCTGTTTTCAGAAGTCCGCTGGCACAGCAGGCTGAGGATAAACACCATCCATTTTCATCCTATCTGCTCACTATTAATCTGCATTTGGGAATGTATTTAAAATAATCAAACTATGTAAAATTACACTTACTGAACAAATTAAAAACCTTGTGACTGGACCCCTGGCATGAATAACTAAACATGGTGCTCACAGTCCACGTTTGTGGCAGAAACCCCCAAATTTGGGGATGACCGGTATTTTGGCTTGGGCAAGGATGCCGAAGGGTTAGACGGGGGGGGGGGGGGGAGGGAGGCAGTCACAGGGCGAGGGTAGGTTTCAGTTAATGAGTCAGGGAGCCCTGCTGGATTGAGCAGTCAATTTGAGGGGAATGGAGGAAAGTCACATATCCTGCCAAGAAAACCTCCATTCCATCACTGGCAACAACTGGCAACCCACACAAAACACCATGGAGAGGCCCAATAATAATTTCCATTAAGCACGTCTCCATGCACCGCTGCTTTGCTCCAGCGCATACTTATCCACAGCAACCAAAAATAGCAAATTTGACTGATAATAAAGAGATTCAGAATCCCATTAAAGTCCACAGCTGGAAACAAGCTTCATACTGCAGAAAACACAAAGAGTTGATCTAGAATAGGTAGACCAATTGATCATATATCAACATTTCGAAAGAGAAAAAATTATTATTTATTCTTAGATTTCTTAATACCAGTCGTCCCAATTTAAAATACATATTATTATTTTTTTTAAAAAAAGAACAGGTCTTCCCGGCTTGAATCTGAGGCCCCATCGCTCGCTCAGTCCACCGTATCTGAACCGTGCAAGCAGAAATGGCGCCACATAATCAGCCAATTCTTTTTGCACTTATAGGCTCCTCAGCAGCGACTCTCTTTCGGTTTCGTTAGGTTGGATGGGGAATCCTCAAATCCACCTGTTTTATTTTGGAAAAGGAGAATAAGCATTAAAATATTTTTAAGCTATCCAAGAACATGAGATTTTAATACATCTTGGAACCACACTAGACACTTGAAAAACTCCTTAAACATCGTACGGTATTTAAAATTTCCTCTCTATGCAGCCAAGCACTGAAAAAGAAAACAAGCACCCCCACAAAAAGCGCACTAACAGCTGTTCTGATTCAATCTGGCAGGCCTACCTGGTCCCTTTCGTGAGGCAGGAGGCTGACGGGCGGCAGGGAGGCAGGAAACGAGCTGTACTTATAGGCCCCTGGGCCTTCCAAGCTACCTGGGCTCAGCCGGTACTGAGGTCCTTCTTTCAATAATCTCCCACTATTGACCGCCCGCTTGGCCCCCAGGCGTAATCTCCGCTGAAAGGCGGGGTTGTTGAAGATCCCCACCAGGTCATGTTGACTTCTCAGGTACTTCTCTATGTTTCTGAGGGAAGATCCATTTGGATCCTGAAGCCCTTCAATGGCTCTCCGCAGAAGTTTATTCCAATCCACGTTTCGAAGCTCGCCACAGGCTCCCTTAGATCCTTTGGAGGGTTTGGGAATCTCGTCCAGCTTGAGAGATGAAAAGCGCCCGGGGTTATCTGGGTCCTTATAGGAGGCCAGGCCTTTGTTGGTAACTTTGAGAACAGAGCCATCCTGGACGCTCAGCTCCAACTGCTCAGAAACGGTCTTCTTATCCAAGCCGTGGGATCCGCAAACGGCATGACAGATCCTCTCTTCCGAGGGCCTCTGCTTCTGCCTTTTGACTTTGTGTATGGCTTCAAGAATCCACTCTGTGTAAAGTGGATTCGCAAGTTTTACCATGGCTGATCGATAACCTTCCACCCACAAGAGTTACCCATAGAGTTCCTTTCTCTTCCTGTCAGCGATCCGTCTCCTACGTATTCACAACGCAATGAGTTTTACCTTCCGGAATCACCATCTCAAGAAGCCATCCCTTAGATGCAAAGACTGTGAGGACTATCCGGCGTGATCTTCCAAGCAAACCCTTCATCAGCCAACGTAGTAGGGAAATGGAGTCATTTTCTTACGTCAGACGGAACCCATCTCTACACCCAGATGGCTTTTTTCTCTGGCCAGTACAAATCTTCCCCGGTCTTCATAAATTCTAAATAAGATTTTTAGAAAGGAAGTTAATTTCATCCTCATCATTTAGGAATGTAAATATATACCACTTTATTTAAAAAGCTACACCTCTACTGACCAATGCCTTAGTTATTAACTAACATTTAGAAGCACGGTTGGACTTGGGGGGAAGTTTATGTGCTTCTTAGAATTAAATTCCAAAATTCATATTAGATGACAGTTCGAGTCTTTCAGAAGACAGAATATCAGCCAATGTTATGTCTGCCACCTTTCAAACCCCAAGTTGAAACAAGGCATACTGTAATTGGATACATAAAAGTACCACTTTCTCAGCATCCCCAAATCTAGTAATTTATTGATTCGCACCATGTTCTAAGCACTCTGCCTCTCCAGTCTTACTGGGCATGAAGACGTCATGAGGCTGGAACATACTAGACTTCTCCATGTCACCAGCTCCCTCAAAAGCAAAATCTCCTTGCCTAAAGATTGTGAATGATTAATACAATTACTCAACTCTTCATCACCTATGTCATAGTATTGCTTCAAATGGAGAGAGAGAGGGAGAGAGAGAGAGAGAGAGAGAGATTGAAGATTGCAACCGTCATAAATATGAACCAGATGTCAAACAAGTGAATTTTGACCACATGACCAGGGGGATGCTGCAACTTTTTTCAGCACCGTTGTAACTTTGAACAGTCATTAAACAAATGGCTGTAAGTTGAGGACTACCACTACTCCAAAAGATAAGCTGCATTTCAGTATGGACACCTGACTGAATCCTTCTCACGAGAAGCTTCTTTAGGCTGCAAAGTGTGACTCAAATCTTTGCTGAAGAAATCTTCTGAGGTGGCTGGTGAAAAGTTGGAGCAGGAAGAAAGGAACGTCCTTCTCTAAGAAGACCCCCCCCCCCAAAAAAGCCTGACTCCATCAGGCAAAAAGGCTTCGTAGAGTCGGGCACTCTGTTCCCCAGGGCCTACGCCTGTTCAGGGGACATAGGAGCCACGTCATGCTCCCACCAGGATTCTCCAGCAAGAGAAATTGAGGGGTGTAGCGTTTCTCTTCTGGAGATAATGTGGATAATACGATTATGTCCTCCATTAATTTATTGAATCACCTTTTAATGCTCTATAAATCATGCAACTTATAGTAGAACGTTGTGTAATTTAATATGTGCCGTGAAAAGAAATAATTACTTTTCCGAGGGTGCAGTAAGAAGTTCTCTCTTCTTGGCATGACTTCATAAGAATAAGGACTGCATTAGACATGCACCGTCCACTCCCACACGTCTTTCACTGGCATCGATTATTTCATATGACTGTAGGGAAAATCATAACCATTATTTGCACCTATATCCATTGGAGTAATAGTTTTTGTTTAAAATAATACACTCCAATTTTAAAACATTTTTTTAAATTTTGCATTCCACCTCCTTATGCACGTAATAAAAGAACACATAAAGCAGATTCTTGTTAGATCAGTGGTGTGTTGTTTGAACCTTGCCCCCAAACTATCCCAAAGTATTTCTTTACATCTCAAAGAAGAGGAAAAACCTTTGCCAATGATCTGCTGTACATACAGTAGCAATTGCTTCAACTAATAAATTGCAAGTATTTTGACACTTTAGTAGAACTTGTATACCACTTCCAGTGAAAAGTGTCCCAATTAAATTATTTTATTATTAATAATTAAATTTATTTACCACCCATTTCATCACCAGGCGACTACAACATTAATTCACGCTTCCAGCAGCCGATCCTGGACTCTCCGATCTCACTGGGCTAGATTCACATATAAACCGTTTGCTTAATCTCAAGTTGTCGCCTAAACCACATCAGCAGAACTGATGCATTATGCTAAATCACAGAGCATGCTAAAAACAAGCCACAAAGCTGTGGCTTTCACAATATTGTTGTATTCTTATACACTGAGCAGATTCGCTTCTCATGAAATAAGTCAGTTATATAAATTTGATTAATAAATAAATATGAGATGGGCTTAGCTTATTCTGTTATTCTGTCATTCTGATGATGAATAAACCACCATGTGCTTAAGTCTGGTCTATGAATAAATCACAATTGACTGGATTGAAAACAATATTAAGGAGAACTCTTAAAGCCACAAAAAGCTTATCCTATAGTTATCACAGACCTCAGCAATGTACTGAAACGCTGGGGGAAGCTTTCAGCTCCAACAAAATACAGATAGTTCTCATTTAGCAAACAAAAATGGGAGTAGCATCTTAGTCATTAAGCAAAGCAGTCGCTAAGACAACTGTGCTTAAATTTATTCCAGCTTTCCCTTGCTTTACAGACCTGTGAACGTCATAAAGGCAAGGATTGCTCGCAAAATTCTTATTTCATCACTGTGAACAGTCACCATATGAAGCAGTCACCAAATGAGAACTATCTGTAAGTGCTCCATGATCCTAAGTTGCAGTTCAGTTCCAGAAGACTCTCTAGAGAGGCAGAGATGTTGGTGGAAGGATCCCAATATTTTCTGCTCACATTTAATGGATGAGAAAATAAGCTAGAAAGAAGGGAACATATTCATGAACTCAAGAGTGGGCCTCAACTTAAAGACTATCTTGTTTTTAATTTTTGACCTTTTTTTCAGAGGACATCTGATCGTCCACTTTGCACTCATTTCGCAAATGGTTCAAGCACTCCTAGTTGGGAGAAGACACCTCCTTGGAGCCAGAAGACCAGAGGCTCAAACCTTCTATTTTGGATTTTTATTAATCCAGCAATTGCACCAAGGCAAACTTTGTTTACACTAGAAAGTCTAAACAGGAAAGATTTAGACCTTGGGCAGGAGACCACCAGGAGACCATAGAAACAAACCTCTTCCGTATGGCGGCCAAGAAAAGACCTGGAGGGGATAACAGGAGTCAGCTTCTTTTGAGGAAGAGCGACTCAGCATTTTGCCCACCTCGAAAAGTTAAGCTGGCACAGACCAGGCAAGCTTTCAGCTAGGAGGTCGCCATGAAATGCCAATTCATATACAGCCTGGCCTAAGAGGTTGCAAAAAAATAAATAAAAATAAAATAAAATTGTGGAAGAAGTCAATGGTAATCCACTTATATTGCGGCCAGTAGGGCTCTTCCAAAGCTCTTCCAATGTTTGGCTTTTAGAATAGAGTAGAATAGAATAGAATAAGGGACCTGGGAGGTCTTCTAGTCCAACCTCCTGCTTAGGCAGGAAACCCAGGCCTAGACCATTTCAGAGAAACGGTTGTCCAATCTCTTTTTTAAAAAGATTAAAACTACAGTAAACCCAGACTGCCCTCAGAGACCTCTGAAGCAACCTCGACAGCTCTAAGACGGGTGGACTTCAACTCCCAGAATTCTCCAGCTAGCCAAGCTGCCTGGGGAATTCTGGGAGTTGAAGTCCACCAAAGTAATTGCCAAGATGCACCGCCACGCCCGGCACCGCAGATGACGAGAGAGTCACGCTTCCCGGAGCAAGCGCTGAGCTCGGGCTCCCGCCAAGAGGCTTCAACTGCGGGAGGCGCTCGCGGCTCATTCCCCTCAGACAGCAGCAGCAGGAGCGCCAGGTAGTACGCGACCCAGCCCACCTCGGCAGCCAACGCCGCCATTTTCTTTCTTCCTCTTTGGACACGACATTGGACGAAAGCCCAAACCGGGCGCTTTCATCCCGCCTCCCAATTAGGCAAGCCACAGCGATAGGCCAAGCGACCCGTCCGTCCGCTCGCCGCCAGCCACTCCGTTCTTCCACACGCATACTAGGGCCAGACTATAGGAGGGCGGGAGACGTCAATTACGCTCCTCCCCACCCTCTCCTGGCAAAGCCGTGACAGCCCAGCGTCACCGTCTTCGACCCTCATTGGTCGGCGATTACATCTGGACAACAATAGAAGGTGAAGGGACGAGCCTCGCCTCCGGATAGGCTCCCGAAGTGCCAATCGAGGAATATCCCCCACCCTTTCTCCCTCTCCCCCCTTTCCTCGCCCTCCCGCCGAGGAAGTTTGTTCGCGAGCGCAGAGGCGGGCGCGAGACACACACTAATAAGCGGCCACGAAGTCTCTGAGTTTCATGCCACGTGCCGGGGCGCTCTGCCCACCCCGTCCGGTCGGGCGAGATCAGCGAGGAGCGTCTCCCGGGCCGGCTCGGCCCCTTTGCGGGCGGCCGGCGGGGAGGGCAGGGCAGGGGAGGGCAGCGCTGTCCTGCTCCGGCCGGGCAGAGCCGGGCCAGCCTCTCCCGGGCGCGCCCGGAGGCCGCTGCACGTGCGCCTGCAGGGGAAAGCCCCCCCCCCGGGCACAGGCGACGCCCCCCCCTCGTGCAAGCCCCAACACGCAACGCCCGCCGGGCTGGCCACACGTGCACGGGACACCCTCGGCCCCGTTCCGCGTGCAGCCTCGCCCGAGGCCCCCGGGCGGAGGAAAGCCGGAGTGGCGCGGGGGGCTTTGCGGGGCATCGCGGACCCCGGCCCGACCCGCGCCCGCCGCGACCCCCAGATTGGCTCCGGGAAAGACGAGCGCGGCCAGTGCCCGGCTGCCTCCCTCCCTGCCGGCCGGCCGCGGCGCCCGGAGCCCCGCCAGCCTGGCAGCGCCTTGCCTGCCCGCCCGCCCGCCCGGGCGGCGGCGGCGGCGGCGGCGGGTCCCCATAGCGGCTCTTGCAGCAGCGCCGCCGCCGTCCCGATCGGGCGATCGCGGCGCCCTCGCTGCCCGCGGCTCCACGCACACGCCGACACGCGCGCACCCGCAGCCACCCACACAATGGGAGGGCGCCGAGGCGTCCCCGCGCGGAAAGGACACCCCCTGCCCCCGCGTGGGTGGCGGCCAGCCCGGCCGCGGGAGCCCCGGGGCTGGGCGGGGGTCTCTTTCCGGCCCGCGGCGGCGCTGAGCCCCGGTGGGCTCCCCCGCCCGCCGCCCGCCGCGCCTCCCCAGCCCCGCGTCGCCCCCGCAAACCTGTGGGGCCGCCGGGCGCCCGGAGCGGAGCTGCGAGCCGGGCGTCGGTCGGGGGAGCTAATTGCCGGGTTAATCTGCCTGGGCGCTGCCAGGCGAGGTCCCTCCCCGCTCCGGCTCCTTTTGGATCTGCGATTGGCAAGCGGGAGACGGAGCGGCTCGGGGGGGCAGAGGGAGAGGGGGCGGCGGCGGCGGCGGCGGCGGCGAGGGGGCTGCTCCGGCGAGCCCACCAGCCGGGTTCAAGGCGCGGGCGGCGGGCGGGCGGGAGCTCCGGCCGGCCGGTCCGGATCGCGGCTGCGCTGGTGTCGGGCGCTCCCTGGCACGGACGAGCAGAAGCCAGAGGAGCAGGGAAGGGGGCGGCGGAGCGGGTGCCAAGGCGTCCGGAGGATGCCCGGCTGAGGTTCCCGGGGAACCTCCCTCCCGAGGCTGCCTTCCCAAGACCAGCAGACCCGCGGGTGGCGAGCAAGCGGGCGCTTTCGGGCTTCTCTGCAAAAAAAAAAAAAAAAGGGGGGGGGGAATGAAGAAGCCCGTCTCCTTTTGCGCGTGGATTCGCCCCACGCAGCCCTTCCCTTCTCGTGGGGCAACCTGGAAGCCCCCGTGCGATGGGGGGGGGGCGCCCGAGGACGCCGCCGGGGCTCAAAGCCTCGCATGGACCACTTGGCTTGGGGTGGGGTCTTCTCAAACTTTTTTAGGGGCGCCGTTGTTGCGCAATAAAGACTTTCCGCGCAAGAAAAAAAGCCTTTTTTTTTTTTGCACCGCTGTTGGGGAAGGAGTCGATTCGTTGCTGATTCCGCTGTGTGACTCGCAAGTTCAGCAGACGCAACCGCGGGAAGCGGGCTTCCCCTTGGTGGCATCTCCCGGTGTTTGCCTGGTTTCTTGGCGAGTGGTTTCTTCTCAACCTGGGCAGCTTTGTGATGGGTGGACTTCAACTCCCAGAATTCCCCAGCCAGCACTTGTTGGTTGGAGAATTCTGGGAGTTGGAAGCCCACCCATCATAAAGTGGCCCAGTCCAGGGGTAGGCAACCTTGGCCCTTTTGTGACTCGTGGACTTCAACTCCCAGAATTCTGGAGTCAGCATAGCTGACTCAGGAATTCTGGGAGTTGAAGATCATAAAAGACCCAAGGTTGCCTATCCCTGGCCTAGGTTGATGAAACCACTGCTCTGGGCTCTCCTGGTATTGTCCCAGCCATTAAAACAATAATGATGATGATGTGCAAACAAACAATGTAATTTCTGCCAAAGGATGAAGGGAGCATCAAAAGACATTTGTGCAGTGAATGGCTACCTGTGGAAGTCTCTCTTTCGCAGCCCCCCCCCCCCACTTCTGTAACCATAGTTCCTGACCTCTTTAGGAAACATTTTTCTAATGTCAACAGCCACTAATTCTTTAGAAGCCTTACACTTCTAGAAAGCCACCTGCGTATTCGTGGTGGGATTCCACGTCCCAGGAGATGCCCTCTGGAAATAATGGGACTCTAGGCTGGCCCTCTCTAGGGGGCCACGGAAGGAAAAGCTCCTTTGCTTCCCCTCCCCCAAAGGATCTTGCGTCTAGTGACAGTCACTGTTGGACCTCAGAGTTGGCTCCCTCTATTGCTGGAGAGCCAAGGCCTTCAGAAATCCTACAAGGATGCTACACAAGAAACTTGTCAAGGAGAGATCCAGCCTAGAACTAAGGAGAAACTTCCTAACAGTGAGGACAATCAACCAGTGGAACAGAAGTTGCTCCATCCCTGGAGGTTCTCAAGAAGAGACTGGGCAGCCATTTGTCTGGAATGGCACAGGATCTCCTGCTTGAGCAGGGGGTTGGACTAGAAGACCTCCGAGGCCCCTTCCAACGCTCTTATTCTGGGAACTGTTGGGATTATTCACTTTGCAACTCTTTTCCACCACAGGATCCTGCTTTTGACAGCTCACCAAACTATCCTTTAGGATGGGCTCTCCAACAGTCCCAGTACAATAGCACCTTCTTAAACCAGGGCTCCCCAAACACGGCAACTTTTAAGGCTTGTGGACTTCAACTCCCAGAATTCCCCAGCCAGGGAATTCTGGGAGTTGAAGTCCACAAGACCTAAAATTGACCAGTTTGGAGGGCCCTGGTTTAAGAAGCTGCAATTGTACTGGGATTGTCGCATGCAAGGAAGATCCCTCGATCAGAACCACTGAATGGAATCAAGGTAGAGTTTCCTTCCCATCCTGCCTCTTCAGATCAGCCCCTGTGCTCCCCCCCCCAACCCGGCAGTAATCCACTTGAAAAGATCCCTGGTAACCTTAGAGCGGTCCGTGGAGAGAAAGCCTCCGGGAAAGGGGAAGAGATCAAGAAAATGTCAAACTTGCTATGGCAGCTACAGAAACAGCCGATTTTATTTGCCTTCATGAAAGCATCAATTTTGCCCGTATGAGTCCTGCTGGGAAAAGTGAGATTAAATCCTCTTTCCTGGCCTTCGGCAATTCCGATCAGGATCTCTCTTTCCCTGCTGCTCTCATCAGCACAGAAACGGCAGTTCTGGTTTGGGGGTTGTGGGGAAGGAGATGGACGAGAGTTGGGTGAACATCTTTTCTTTCCTTCTGTTCGGAGATCTTGGAACTTCTGAGGAGGCCCTTTTGCCACTGCTGACCCCTCCTTTGCTTGTAGTTTTTACTGCTAAGAGGAAGATTAATAATGCCACACGCCTTTCACGTTTACTTTTAATGATGATGTTCTTGATGATGATCACGACAGCCTAAATTTTGCTGGACCTGCGCATCAATCCCACAAAAAAATTCATTTTTTATTAATAGCAATTAATTGTTCACAGCAGGTTGTGGACCTAGCATACTTTGGCTGATCTTGAAAAACAAATTGGACCTGGTTAGTACTTGAATTCGGCCCGTCTATGAAATCCCAAACCTTCATACTAAGCGAGGAAACTTGGAGGGCTGAAATCACTCCAGAAGAAGGCAGCTTTTATAACATTTCTCTCCATTCCCTTGGCCAACAAGGGTTTTTAAAGCACTCCAGGAACCCTCGTCCCTCTGATCAGGAAGGGAGCAGAGAAGGTGACACCCCCCACCCACCTCTGCTGACTGCTTCTGTGCTCTGAAGTTCCATATTCAAAGTTAAACCCTAGCATGTTCACTGTGAGAGGAAGCTTTTTTCCCCAGTCTGAAAAGAACTGCAACAAAACGTAGAAAATTTGTGGCCCAAGTGGAATAAATCATAATTGCAACTATCACACTGCAAAATGTTTCTGATGGCCCCATAGACTTTGCATTAAATCTCTGCCAGGGCTCTGGTTCATCCCAGAAATGGCACTTTTGCTTCCACATGAATTCCCAACCAGAATTTCTACCATCCGAACAGAAGCCGTCTGATAGAAGCGAAGACGGGACGCACCGGACACAATTTTGCCAAATGTTGTTAAGACCGAGCTGTTACAGCATTGGTACGAAACAAAATATTGCGAAAAAATACACACTTACTGTAAATGGATCCAGTTCTGTTCAGTTTCTCAAGTGACTATAAAGACACAAGCTTTTTGAAGGCCAGAAACTCTCATTTTAAAAGTTGCCAACTATGTATCTTATTCTAAGTAGAAGTTCTCTGTGGAGAACTTTGGAGCTGAGAGCCTACATATAGCTAGATATATACTTTTTTTCTTCCATCCAGCCATGTCCTATTCTTGGAAACTTCCTAATCGAATCCCTGCATTTTTCTTGGCAAGATTTTTCAGAAGTGGTTTGCCATTGCCTCCTTCCGAGGGCTGAGAGAAAGTGACTGGCCCAAGTCACCCAGTTGACTTTGTAACCAGAAAGGGCCTATGAAGCCCTTAAGCCCTCCTGGACTGGAATCATAGAGCTATAGGGCTAGAAGGCCCCCACCTCACTGCCCAAGGCCATCCCAGACGAATGGCTGTCCAATCTCTTCTTGGTCTCCTACTTTCTCTACACCAAACTACCGTGTTTTGCCGAAAAATATACCCAACTAGAAAATAAGTCTAGCGTGATTTTTTTCAGGATGCTCATAATATAAGCCCAGCCCCCAAAATAAGCCCCAGTTAAGATTGTCAGCCAGTCGGACACATTTGGTAGCGTATTTTCCCGAAAATAAGCCCTAACCCGAAAATAAGCCCTCATGTGTCTTTTGGAGCAAAATTAATATAAGACCCGGTCTTATTTTCGGGGGAAAACACGGGTGGCTCTCATAAAGGCTTTATTGCGTTAGAAAGACAAATGACCCTTTTTAGACTCCTCATAGGATGGAAGATGCATAGAACATTCCCCCCCCCCTTTGTGCTGTTCACACCTGGCTATCCACACTCTGCTGCGTGCACCAGCCTCTTTAATTCCCCGTTGTCTCTGCTTCTATTGTTCCGCAACAGGCTCATCAAGCGATGGGAGTACGATTGCTGTAAAGAGGTCAATACGTGTCAATGGCCTAAAGGAAGGAGCGGCCAAGGCAGGGGTGGGGGTCACGGGAGGGGAGGGGAAGATTAGAGACTTGCTGTTTTGTGTCATTAACTATATGTTTGACAAGGAAGGAGATATTTGTAATGCGAATCCTCCCCCAAAGCCTTTAATTAAAAAATAAACAATGAAGGGCTCTGAGTTTAAGCTGTGATCCGCTTACATAAACAATGATTTAAAAGATTCATCCTTAAAGACAGATGGATCCCTGAGTCTTCCTGACTGCTTTGAAAGAATTACCAGCAATTTTTCAAAATCCCAAAGCAACTTCTGGACCTGTTTCTCGCCATGTTTTTTAATGGCTTGTTGTGAGACGGGGGGGGGGGCATGTAGGTTTTGTAAATAAATGAAATAAATAAAGCTTGCTTTGAATATGTGCACCCAGTAAGACGCACAGTGAGGGCCACCAGGAGGGCCCGGCTGCAGTAGGGAAAGCGGACGATGCCCACAGGGTTTCTTTCCATCCAGGTTTGATCTCAGTTCTTCCGAGATGAAACATGGTTGGAAGTAAACTTGGTGTGCATCGTCCACTTTTTTTGTACTGCGGCTATGCTGTCACGGCAGCAGTATTTTCTCAGTGCCATTGTAACTTTGAACCGTCACTAAATGAGCTGTGGTAAGCCAGGGACTCCCTAGTTGTCCTCTCAGTGGCCAAATGGAAAGGCGCCCATCCACTCTGAGGGTTCGGGGGCTCTTGGGGAGAGGCCCCTGGCGCCTGCTCGTGCCCTGCTGTGGGCTGAGCTCCAGAGGTGGACGGAGGGCCAGCCAGGGTGAGGCCAAACCCATCATCAGCCAGACTTTGGCTTTTCCTTAATTGAGGAAAGCAGCCATGGAGGCCAAGTCTTTGCCCAGAGAGGCCAGGGAGGAAGAAGGCGGCCTCGGGGGAGGCCTGGCAGCTTTTCCTGTCAACCTGTGGACACCCCTGTGGGAGAGGACGGTCCTCTCCTCCCTCCCCAACTTCTCCTCCGCCATTTTGGAGCAGGCACCCACCCGCCCGCCCTCCCTGCCAGGGACACGCATTTGTATGCCACTCGTTCCGCAAGGCCCTCATTTTGAACTCCTCACAATGAGCACAATAAAGCATAGAGAACACTCATAAAATCAAAGCCAAAGACTTAAAAGCAATAAATGCTAATTAAAACTATTAATAAAAACCATTACCTCCATTAGGCACATCCGAATAACCCCCTGAAGAGGACCACTTTCAACATGTTGTATACAGATTGTCCTCAACTTACTATTTGTTTAGCAACTGTTCAAGTTACCATGGCACCAAAAAAGTGACTTCCAACCGGTCCTCGTACTTATGACCATTGCAGCCTCCCTACGTCCGGTGATGGAAATTTGGCTGCTTGGAAACAGAACGTCGACAATGGTTGCAGCAACCCGGAATCACGCGATCCCCCCTGGTGCCCTTCCCAGCCAGCTTTCCACAAGCTAAGTCAACGGGGGAAGGCGGATTCATTTAAGGACCACGTCCTTCACTTAACAACTGCAGTAATTCATTCAACAATCATGGTCACGAAATTGGGCATGACTCATTTAAAACTAGGCCTCCCTCTGTCACAAGTCAAGGACTTCCTGTAAGGCCGTCAGGGTAGGGCCCATCTGACCTCCATGGCAGAGAAGTTGCTCCAGAGAGAAGTCAGAGCTTTCTCTCTCTCTCTTTGTTGCTTGGGAAGCTTGGAAGAGAGAAAGCTTGTCTCCTGGAAAAGCAGGAGGACAAGAGGTTTGGGGCCGGTACAGAGAGAGAGAGAGGGAGGGGGGGGGGTGTTAGCAGGAGATGCATCCACAGCTCACTCCGAAGCCCTTTTTGCATGGAGCCAGAGGGGCCTCGGTGGCAGGGAGGATCCTTTGTAAGTGACCACAATTCATTGTGACAGACAACCAAAATGAATGGCCTAAAGGGTTGGCAAGAGCCTGGTGGGAAATTCTCGGGGGCCCGGGAGGCTATAGGGGCATCTAGAAGAGGCCATGGCTTAAAGGCCAAAAGCCATGGATTGTGTGATGTTAGGAGCCGCAGGGTCAAGAACCCCAGAAAAGAAGCAGAAGAGTATGTTCCAAGTTTTCAATTAATCACAGATCCTTCCCTAAAAAAACCCCGCCCTGCAATCATAAGCAAATTAATTTTGCTGAACGAAGAGTGCTGAGTCTGTCCATTTACAACATTTCTGTCCAGCTGCTTAAATCCACCTTCCAGTTGAGACAACCTCGTGCCACAATAATCAGCAGATTAAAGCTGGCCACAGAATAGGCACACCTAACAGACTTCTCAGTTAGCCCGGTGCCAGAGTGGGCAAACTTCACATCACTTCCAGATGATCAACTTCCAACATCTGACTGCACATCTGGCCAGGACTCACAGGGGACTAAGAGTCTAAAACCTCCGGAGCGCATCCGATTGCAAGCTTCTTCTGCAGAACGGAGGGAAGGAAGTAGAGCCAGAAACATCAGCTCTGCTTTCTTTGGGACAACATACTTTTTTTGGGGGAGTAGGGAGGGAAGAAATCCTAATTTAAGATGACCCCTCCCATTACCCCATGAAGAAATGCAGACCAACATCCACAGCAGTATCCAATTCTGGTCACCAAGATACATAAAAGCCGCCATGATCAGAGAAGGTGCGCAGAGAAGAGCCACAAAAAGTTGATTAGGGGTCTGGAGGCTAAGTTCTACAATAAGGGTTTGGGGGCTCTGGGCATGGCTAGCCTAAAGGGGAGAAGGATTAGGGGTGACAGGATAGCTGCCTTTATTCTCCAAAGCACCTGAGAGCAGGACTAGAGGATCATTAAAGACAGATCCCTTCTAGAAGTCAGGAGAAATTTCCTGCCAGTGAGAACTGTCACCCTCTAGACGTTGTGGCTGCTCCATCAATCTACCCCCCCCCCACATGCTTAGCCAGGGGCTGAGTTCCCATAACGGAGTCCCCAGACCCTTTCAGGCAGGGGTCTTCAAACTTGGCCCTTTGATGACTTGTGGACTTCAACTCTCAGAATTCCTCAGCCAGCAACGCTGGGAGTTGAAGTCCACAAGTCACCAAAGGGCCAAGTTTGAAGACCCCTGCTATAAGGCCACATGAACGTCTTTGGGCTACCCGGCTGGTGAACGGCATTTTTATGTTCTCCCTCCTTCATAAAGATGGGATTAATCTTCCTTTTGATAAAAGCTGAGCCAGTCGGACAATGATGCTGCCCCCCTCCCCTCCCCCCCAATCCAAGTTGGGCATTATCTCAGGGAAGGGAAGGGGGGGGGGAGAGGAAGCCTCACCCCGTCCAACAGTAGCACCAGCTGCATCCCACACGCTACTCAATTAGCCAGGCTGTGCTTGTTGTTTTTTCTTTTGAGTTTTGTATGAATTCAAGAATAGGCCACGGCTCTCCTGGCAACTGATGAATGGGGGCCTTTTATGACAAAAATTGCCTCACAGTGGAGCTGCTGACAGATGCACGGAGTGCTTTCCATTAATTAAGTGATGGGGAAGAGAGTCCTCCTGTCTCCCTGGCCTCCGATCCCCCCCCCTTCTCCTGGCCGTTCAGGGCCGGACTCGTCCTTGGGCTGCACCAGCCACCCTTTAACCCTGGGCCACCCAGGGAGAAAGCAGAGAACTGCCACCCTCCCCGAACACGGGGTGCCCATTTCCCTTCCGATGCCGAGAAGGGGCGCTCCCTTTGGACTCCAAAGAAAGGAAGAGTAGCTTCCAAGAGGATTGCAGGTTCCTTCATCCAAGTGGCTGGGAACCCACCTCAGCCGTGTTCAAGAAACACGGGAGTCCCAAGGTCGCCAGCCAGGAGAGCAACTTCCAGGCTTCTAAAGCAGGAAATGGTCCCCACTGAGCAGGCTGATATGCCTTGATGTAAGTAGCCGCCAAAGCACCTGCTCCCCCCCCCCCCGTGACTTGATTTTCTTGATTTTCAATTATTTCCCCTTGCAGGAGAGCTGCTCCCGAGAAGGAGAAAGAAAAGCACATCTCCATATCCAGAGTGCTTCACCTGTTCTTCCTCCTCCTCCTTGCCCTTATAAATTACTGCTAGCATTTTTTATAAGACTGAATGAGCACAGGCTGAAATTCGTCTTACGGGTTTTGCACAAGAGAAGCTCTGTGCCTGTGTTTCCCAAACTTGTCAGCTAAGACAGGTCGATCCCAACTTCCCGAATTCCTGAGCCAGCCTGGTTGACTGGCGAGTTCTATGGGTTGAAGTCTTCTAACGGGCAAGCTGAGAAACACGGCTCCATGCTCTCCTTCTTTCTTTGAGTCTGTTTTTGCCTATAAAAGAGGAGGAGGAGGAGGAGGAGGAGGAGGAGGAGGAGGAGGAGGAGGAGGAGGAGGAGAAAAGTATTGTTAAAAGTGGCATATGGCTTTGCCAGGACAAGCCAGAGGTATAACTAACAGCGAAGCCCAATTTTGAGCTAACATAACAAAAAGAAGAAAAGAAAGAAAGAAAGAAAGAAAGAAAGAAAGAAAGAAAGAAAGAAAGAAAGAAAGAAAGAAAGAAAATGTGCAGCAGCCACATTGAAAAGATTATTTTTAAACCATAAACGTAGAACATTGGGATGAAAAAATGAAGTCCATGTTCTCCATATACTTACTCTAGCATCACCCTAAAGAAAAGGATCTTTAGCATGCAAGCTACCCAATCTGCTCCATAATCATAATTTGGCAAACATCAATGTAAGTTCTGAAAACCTGTGGCATATAAGAAATGTGGAATAAAATCCTTGACTTTAACAAAGTGATGCCAAACCTGAAAGATAAAAATGTCCATCATAGTATCCATGCAGAAATTTATCACAAAGTGCGTAAGGAGTTAGCATAAAGTTTCTCAGTCTGAACTTCAAACACAATTCTACAAGTCAGTTCGTATTGCCCAAAGGGTAGCAAATTCTCTCTCTCCCTCTATCTAACTAAAATCTATAAATCTATCTGTTTCTCTGTCTATCTGTTATCTATCTATCATCTCTCTCTCTCTCTCTCATCATCACCATCTCATGTAGAAACCATCCATTCAGCAGTCAACCAGTTCCATCAACTGAATGACCATCATTTTTCTTTAAGGCGAAATGTAGACATTTTGAAGCAAGAAAAATGAGAAGGAAACAAACGTGTGGACATCAACTGGCAAACAGAGTCGGTCTGCTTGAGGCTTGCAGGGATTCAGTTCCACTTATTTCTGTTTCAAAATCCATTTGTGTTGTTTTCAAAATCCACTTGCCTTCTTACATCTCTCTCTGCTTCAAGTAGGCCAAAAGTAGCAGGATGCTTGATGGAGCCCAGCAGTACAATCCTCACTTTCTGGGAATGCTCTGCTGGCAGATGTTGCCACCTGCTCCACCACTGGAGGTTTTGAAGAAGAATCTGGACAGCCATTTATCTGGAATGGTACAGATTCTCCTGCTCAAAAAGGGGGTCAGATCAGAAGAGAATTGAAGTCTACGAGTCATAAAAGAGCCAAGGTTGCCTACCCCTGGTTTAGGATAAAGCTCATGAGGTAATCCTTTTTTTTAAATCTTTTAAAATTTTCTTGTAAGGTAGGATGAAACACTGTTAAAAGATGAATCAAAATAAATTATTGATCGCTTAACAATCGCTTTATGAAAAGTAATTATTAAATATTAATCTCAAGTGTGTTTTTAATTGAGACAGTAATTCACAATTATTCTTTTACCAAGGGAAAAAATAGATCAGTAACTTAAAATAACATGGATCCAAGATGGTTTAGAACAAAGTTTTATCCTGAGACATCAGGCCAGGTTCTCAAAAACCTACACTGGGTGGGCGGGACTGGGCAATCAAACTCCCGCCCATTTTTTATGGGCCATAAATGTGGAAAAGGGGTGGGGCTTCAGCTGGACATGTATGGCTGCCATCTTGACCTTTGTGACTCTGGCTCCCTTTTTACGGTTTTATCAAGGAATAAAACGGCTTGAAAAGGATGGTAGCAAGGCAGCTGGTCCTTCCCTCAGACAGCCAAAATTCTCCTTTTGCAAATGCAGAGCAAATACCACAAGACAATCAGATAAAAACTACAGGGAACAATGGGAATTCGGGATCAATTTCTTAGCCAACTGTTAGAGAAATAAGGAGCAGAGATCTTGACTGGTCAAAAGAAGATAGTAGCTGTCTGGAATGAACCATTCCTGAATCTAGGTTTCCAGATAAAGACATCAAAGACTTAGTACTGACAGGCAAGTCCACAAGGAATTGAAATGTAAGCATTTCTGAGCTTCTGCGTGTCTCAATAAAAAAAAAAAAGGAAACCACAAATAAAGAATGTTGTGGAAGGCGTTATTGTGGCACCTCTACGAGACTGCAGCTCTGAGGCTACCAGGCTTTCCGGATGTTTGGGCAGAGATGACTGTGGCGTATCCTTCTGTTTGTATGCACGCCTGTCTTCCCTTTTGTTTCTCTCTTCAAGGTTAAACCATAATTCCATTAACCCAGGAATATCTGTAAAGCATCTGATTCTCTTGGTGCTATCGCCCCTACCATTCTTCTCTCTCTCTCTCTCTCTCTCTCTCTCTCTCTCTCTCTCTCTCTCTCTCTCTCTCTCTCTCTCTCTCTCTCTCTCTCTCCCTCCCTCTCTGTCTCTCTCCCTCCCTCCCTCCCTCCCTCCCTCCCTCCCTCCCTCTCATCATCTCTCATCTGTATCTATCTGTCCCTATCCCTATCTATGAGAATGTGGCTAAGTGGAATTCACATGGGAAAGAGACATAATGGCATAGTCACTTTGCTACTGGTTAAGCAAGGAATAGCACTGATCTGACTAAACCAATTAAAGTTGGTTTGCAGACACATTTAGAACAGGATTCAGAACCCGCCAGTGCTGCCTATCTGCACCTTTCCTAATACCGAAGGTATACTCATAAACTCATCCCCAGGACAGGGGGAGGCTCCCCTAAACGAGGCTTGAGCCCCTCACAGCCAACTTCCTAACCCCCCCCCCCCCAGGCCTTCTGCAGTCCACACTCAAGTGAGATGTCCTGGCTTACTGTGATGAAGCGTCCACCAGAGCCAGGAACACAGGATAAAGAGGACAAACACAACCTCCAACTCTGTTACTCTGTTAACTGGAAAGGCTTCTTACTTTAGGGAGAAGAGATTCCAGCTTAGTTTTGCTAGGTATTGGTTGATCTGGAGAACGGCTTGGGCAGGCTTTCAAGGTTTGTTATGCTCGCCTACTAGCAAATCATCCCACACATCCAAGTGAGTCTTTTTCTTGACTTTTGCCAGTCATCACCACTCCCTATAAGTTGGCCTTGCTCTCCGTCACTGAAGGGGCCAATTAAAGTGTTACGGTTACGTTTTCCTGGCAAAGCAGTGGCCTTAATCCAATCTGCAATATCTTGATTCCCTCCTCTGTTAAAACAATTTCTTGAAATCAATTTCGAGGGCTGCAAACCCGGCTTCCTCGTTCCGTTCCGCTATCAACAGAAGATGCAGAAACTGTCTTCCGATATTTGAGAGGCCGTCACAAAGAACAGGGGATTGGCTTATTATCCACCCATTACAAGAAGTGATGGGCGGAAGCTTTTCAAAGAGAGAACCAACCTAGAAGTAAGGAAAAATGTCCTCACAGTGAGAGCAATTTTCTGAGAGCGGGAACAACTAATCAACAGAATAGCTTGCCTCTTGGTGTTGTGGGTGTTCCATCACTGGAGGTTTTCCAAAATAGACTAGACAACCATTTGACCAGGATAGTATAAGGTCTCCTGACTTGAGCAGAAGGTTGGACTAGAAGACCTCTAAGTTGCCTTTAAGCCCTATGGTTCTACATTCAAAATTGAACCAAATCTTGTATGCTCCCACCATTTTTGTGGCTTTATCCTGTAAGGCTGCCTTCCCTGTTCATCCATTCCAGAATCAAAATATAGAGAAGTCCTGATGCAAGACTTTTGGACGATGATATCCAAGCAAAGCAGAAGGATCAGACATCAGACATTCTTCCATGTTCGTATCTGAAGTTCTGGATAATACCAGAAGCAACTTCAACATCTCACCCCATTTCTTGAACTCTGCATCTCCTGAACTTAGCTTGTTGGTCCACTTTCTGCTTTTGCTCTATAGCACCAAAGGACTGGAAGAAGCTTTGCCAAGGAGATGGACAGCCACATCCATGAATGAGGGCATTTCCTAACCTGTTTTAATAAAATTAAGGCTTTAGTAGTAATTTGTGGACATTGAAATCCATTTGGGTTCTTTGCTGAAAACCTTTCAGGAATTCTTACTAATAAACCTCAGAAAGTCTTTGCAAAAAGAGATAATTGTATTATTTTATTAGGAAAAAGGCAAAGATTGAACTTTGCTGAAAACCAGCATGGCCCCACCCAAATTTACTTCAAAGCTTTCCTCTCTGCCAAGACAACACTTCAGGATTAAAATCCACAAACTCATGCATATAAAAGAAGATAAGAAAATCCCTGTAGGATCCGGCTAAGATTCATTTAATCCATCTTTCTAGTCTCAGAATCCCCAGCCAGGGAGATAAAAAGGCAACAGCTATTTTCTGTTGCTACTCATCACTAATTACTCCTCAGTGCAGGATCTGGAGCAGACAGATAGTTGTCATCACTATTAGCCGCTGGTGGACTAAGCTGTCATTGCTTTATTTAATCCTATTTTCTAAACCAATGGTTCCCTTCACTGAACCCCCAGTAGTTACTGGACCACGGTCCCTTCCCCCCACCCCAGATAGGATGAGCAGTAAAGGAAGATTACGAGAGCTGAAGTCCAACATCTGGAGACCAACTGCTGTCCAATAAGCCCAAATCCCCGTTTCAACTTTGCAGGAAGACAATGTAATTCTTGACCTGCACCAGCTTGGCACTTTCTGCTAGTCTTGTGGCTATTCTGCGTCCCTAATGGAAAAACGGCACATATTTTACCTCAGAGTAAAGATGCTGACTTGAGGTAACAGACAACTGCTAAATGATGGGAAGGAAACCAATGCTTGTGCTTGTGGCATTCCTCAGGGCACCTACACAGAGAAGGGTGTCCAGCAGGCCTCTCCCTCAGCAGGTGAGGCCTGTGTTGGCAGGCCAACGTCGGGCCTTCTCTACCAGAGGATGCACGAGGCAGTTTCTTCAGGTCTATCTGTGGCTTTTCCAAGAGGGGGGAAAGCACCAGACACTCAAAGCTGTAAGAGATGCCCAGGTCTTTGTTGGGAAACTCTCAGTCAGGCAAGGGAGAGGGATCAAGTGGGGAGCTAGTCACGAGGAGTCCTTGCACAGCTGCGAGAGACTTGCACCTGACACAAAAGTTCCATGAAACCCTTATCTCTTTGTTCCCAAGGGAAGGCAAGCAGTCTGGGGAGATTCTTGTATTATAGGTAGAACGCAATAAAGTACTAATCTTGAACTTTTACCTTGGCTCCGATTGCCGGCACCTGAGCGTCTTCCTATCAAAGAAGCGCGATGGGGAAGAGTCCAACTGATGTCCATCTTCTCTGACAACCTTTCTTTTGGGAGGTTGGATATCCACTATGAAAAGACAGCAATAGATGCAGGGTGTAATCAGAAAAGAAGAAACTGGATTGTTTTGCACAATTGGATTAGAACTGTGGGCGAAGATTCCCATTCCTGCTTAATGCGATGCATTTAAAGTTATCTTCTATAATAAATATTTTTAATTTACCTAATTTTGCCCACTTTAAAAATGCATTTAATATAAATACTTCAAAGTGCATTAACTACGTGGTTTGCCACATTTCCAGGGCATAGATAAGGAAGTCACTTTCTCCCTCCATATTTAAAGTTAACAAGTAGCACCGCAAGAGACGTGATATCTACTTAGTGCCACAGGAAGTACACCTATCACTCACATCTCCTGATGCACAAGCAGACAATCACAAATCTCAAGTGTGCAAAATATAGCACAATGGACACCATAGCACACTCGCGTTGTTCTGAAAGACAGTGCAGGTCAACCACCAGCCTGGGGAACAACTTGTGTGCACAGCCACAGCATATTTGTGATTTTCAGGGTCCTAGATGGCTTTGTTTTTCCTACCCGTTTTCTCTGCAAGAAAGCCGATTGTTCAGCGGCATCATCGGCAGCTGATGGCTATTAACTGTCTCACTCCAGTGACCTGGGGAAAGAGCGGGGTTAAATATTTGCAGAGTTCAGAGAAGCTGTCCTTCCACTTGGGGTCCATGGCTGGAAGGACCGCCCCTCCCCCCAATTGCTATTCTGATCTCTTTCCATTCGGCTTGAGACGCTTCATCCTTTATGTCGGTTCAGTGACATGTGAATAACCAAGAGCAAACTTTTATTTTGGCTTTTTTGTGAGAGGGCTTACTTTAATTGCTCTCCCTACACAGTGAACTGCTACACACATCTGTCGGGCAGTATTATTTTTCCATTTCAAAACTGAAATCCTGAGGGTATTTTTTACGCAGGGCACAAGAGAGGCGAGATGAACTCAACTAGTGGGGTGAACAAAGGGGAACAGATGTAACGGGGTGGGGACAGGCCCACTAGTGCTTGGCTGTCTGGAGCCCCATAAACACATCTCAATACATTAACCACCTGGATGTCCCAAAGATGCTTTTTCACGAGGCAACTGGACTTTCTTGCTTTTCTTTGAAGATGTTTCGCTTCTCATCTAAGAAGCTAGTTTACATTTTATGCTGAAATATAAGTTTCCAGTAACCAGCTTTTTTCTACGTGGAGCTACATGGCCAATAGGAAGCTTTTGCCATAAAATAATGATCCATATCCAATTTCTCTGAGGTTCTGTCTTGGTAATGGAAAGTTCAGACATTCTGCTGGGTTCCAAATGAAGCCCATTTTATTTCAATGTCCTGTGAACAACCACTAGATTTTAATTACTGGGTCAATAGCGTCAGTATATTTTTATGCCCTTCCTAATAATAAATTAATAGCAGCAAGGTTATAGGTTTTGGTTACTTAATTAAATATTTTTTCTTCTTTTCTAAATTGTGTGTTTTTATCAGCATCACTGATGAATTGCAGTGCAGTTAATGCTTCCCACTTGCTCTTATAAGAGCCTATTTACTGCCACAGAACCCCGTCACACCATTAAAAGCCCAGAAAACGCCTGTATCACAATTCCTTTATTTATCAGTATCAAATTACATAGTAAATTACTTTGGAGAATGTGTTTCTTGAATACTGTAACACAAATAAAGATGTTTCCATTATTTGACGTACCTTGTCTTAAAACTGTGCGTTGAAATAAAATATTTTGGCATGACCCAAAGAAACAGCCTGCATGAGTTTTCTGTACTCCCATTTGCACATAATACATTTATACTTTCTGAGATGTGGCTTCATAGCTGGCCCGTATCTATTATGGGCTTTACTTATAATAACATCCAGTTCCTGCTCTGGGAAAATGAAATTCCCGAACCGAAATTCAAGTTAGCATGAAGAATGAAAGTCCTACCTCTCATTTGAGGAGCCTACCCCCCATTTCCTACCCTAGCTCAAACAATCTTGGGTCACCCCGGAAACCATGACTGTACTTCCGATTACTGCAAGAGAGCCAGGATTCAGCTGGGAAGGCCAGTAAACCACACCAGGGAT